TTTTTCTCTGCTGTTTGGGTGAGAGTGGAACTTCAAATATAAAAGCCCAAACTTGGAAAAACTTGAGTATGAACCAATAGACCAGTTGTACCTAATGTCAAAAAACAAAGAATGGGACCCATCGGACTAATTCATTGTCTTTGGAAAAGTTTTTTTTTTCTTTTTTTTTTTTTAATAATAATGCTGCTTTCATTACTTAATGCAAGAAAAAAAGAGATAAATTAGAACAAGATTAGCACATATCAGCAGCTAGTATCGCTTAAAGCGTGGAAAATTTCATTTCCTTGGAAGTTTTTTTTTTTTTTTCCAAAATTGAGTTATATAATAAAAAATAATTTTTTTATCTCATAACCCACCACATTTATATACTACACAATTTAAATTTAAATTTTTTATTTTTATTAAAAAAATTTATTACTAAATTATTTAAATTATCTAGTTTTCAGAAGATTAAAAATCATGCCTTACCATCTTTCATAATATTCACTCATGGGCTGCCCGCTAATTTACCATAAGAATTGTTACAAAATCAATATTTCACCTCACACTTTGCTGGATTAATTAATTACCTTTCTTTCCATATCATTACTTTTACTTTAATCAGTGGATTATTACCAAACGCCCATAAAAGCATGCAAATAAACAGGATAAAGAATATGAACTAGCCAATGTCGAGTAGTATTTAGGAAAATTCTTCCTGTCGAGTTGTTCCCTCCGAGGGAATCTAATTTACTGCGCTGGCCACTACAAATCATTGTAGATAGAAGATTTTGGTTGGTTCAAATCGTGCAAGATTGTGATAGCTAAAATAAAGAAAATTATTGTTATACACTTAATTTAATATATTTTTTTATATTTATTTTGTTTAATTATTAAAATATAATATAAATAAAATTAATTCAATTCATTTTTATATTTTATATATATAATTATATTTTTAAATTTATTTATATTTAATTTTAATTAAAAATATAATTTTTTAATAAATATATTATACAATATATTAAATTAAAATGTATTTCAATGAGTCTCTCTAAAATAAACCAGGAAGCAAACAACACAAGAAATAAACGTGCGTGGTGTAGGATGCAGGAGTTGAGGTCAGTTGATGGTGGTTTTTTCTGACCTGTTATAAGATTTGTATTTGATAAAATTTTATATTTATAGATAATTATTAACAAATTATTGGTTTACAATTTTTTTTTATTTAGCGAATTAGAATCCACAATTAAAAATTAAATTCCATTTTACTAATAAATTGAAAAAACTAATGTAAATAGCTTTTTACCTAAATTGTTAGGGGTTTGAGATTTTTTTTTTGTTGACAAAAACACTTATTTAAATTAAATTTTTTTTTATAAGAAACAAAATTTTGTTGCCCTAAAGAAACTAAAAATTTACAAAGCTAATTCAAATGAAGTAATACATTAAAGTTATTATTATACTCATAAAAGTATAAAAATGTAAAATTAAATAATTTAATATTTTTATAAACATCATAACCAAACTCAAACTTAAACAGTTGTACCAAACAAAATACTAGCATCAAACAAAGTAACTACCTACGTGGTCCGCATACGAATAGCATATTATATTCACTATCAATTACAAAAGACCATACAATTGATTTCAATCACTCAATCTTACTCCTACTATATAGGGGTTCGTAGCTTCTTTTTTTTTGGTTGCACAATGGAAGCAATTATTTTTTATTTTTTATTTCATTCCATCTATATATTATGTGATTCGAATTTAAAATCTCTTACTTTTAACAAAAAGAGATAACTACTAAATTATTTAAATCATTAACTATATAAGAATCGTAGTTATCCTTCAATTTCACCACTCACAAAGCATAGAGAGAAACCCTAAATCAAAAAAATCCCCCATTTTCACAAAGAGAAATTAAGATTCCTAATTTAAAACTCTAGGTGTCTATACATGCTTATACCATGGCTAGCTAAAATCATTTCCATTTGAAAATGAGATTAGCGTGTCCTCGGGTTGTCGCGACACCTTAGTCATAAAGAGTTGCCGAATGTTGCAGCAACTAAGGGATGTCGACAGCCTAGTCATAGAATGTCCTCCCCTGTGCGCAGCAGGACATGTGAACACTCCCTAAAATGGTTCCACAGTCTTTGTCCAAACTTCAAAAAATCAAACATTAACTCCACAATTTTCAATCCTTTATTTATTAAATCATGTGTTATTCGTCTCAACATTTGAATTTAAAAATGTCGAGTTGGAATTCAAAACTCTTAGATTTGGTTATTATTTCGTTGAAAATAAGAATATGGAGACTTCAATGGATGGTTAAGAAACTATAACGGCAGATTCAATATAATTTCCATGCAAGTTGGAAGATGAAGTTATGGGTTTTTCCTTTTTTTTTT